CAAGTGATTGACATCATGAGCATCGATCCACGCAATTGGGAAACGATGACATACATCAACCAAGTCAGCGAGCCTGACCACCCGTTCCTGTTAGTCGTCTCTTGCGACAAGAAAAGTCGCCTCTCAACAAACAAACCTCAGTGATGCTGCAACTATATCAGTATTATTTACAAACAGAGACCCGTGAAGAATCCGGGGTAGAATAGGTCTTCAGCAACCCATGCTTGCAGTAAAAGGTGACTATGCTTGTCGTAAAAGGCGACTAACGTGATTGGGTGGTCAGGCTCGCTGACTTGGATGATGCATGTCATCGATCCCAATTGCGTGGATCGATGCTCATGATGTTAATCACTGGATTGTCTGGTCCAGACTCAATTATTTACAGACCGCCGTCATATAGCTGGAATATTGCTGAGAGCGGCGTTCAACAACAAACCAACTACAAACTGAGACTCTCCTTTAAAACACCAAATGTCTCTAAGCTTTAGATCTATTGTCTCACAAAAGCTTTCACTGACCCTCAGATCTTTGCCTCTCACATCTGCATTTTTAAAGAATTGGAAGATAATGGAATAATTAACTGACTCTGGCCTAACACACAGGACACATAAATATACATGATCAGGGCTCTACTTGTTAATATAGGTCCTACAGTGATCGCTCGCTATTGCGCTCTTCGATAAAGCGCTACTTCGGTTATTACGCGCGGTAACGCATGGCTCCCAAAATTTATGTATACTTTTAATACTGAGAGTTTTACACAGACATGATTGTATTGTTGTTCGTTGTTTATTTGCACATAACGCTTCTCGTTGCATAATCAACGGTTTATCGCTGAATGGAGTTCTAATAATCTGTTTGAAAATATCCGCGGCAAGTCCCGGAAATACGATTGTTCAACTAGTTAACTTTTCACACTATACATCCTTTGATCTTAGAAGCGCATGCATGCAATAAAAGAGAACCACAAGTGAAGTTTATATTCTTAATTAGTGGGCAATCCAATTTAAGGCTAAACTGTCACACACATGTAGTTGCTGTCACAACACGGCGGTCATTCATTTCGTAATCGCGCTTTCGTAACATCGCCTGTTTTTTCCCCGTAGTTATAACAAGCGATTTCATTGGATTAAAATTTGTTTCTAATGACGCTTTCTTGCTGAAATCTGCTACAAGTTTCGTGATTGGTCAATTTTGAGCACGTGACCTCAGGCAGCCAATCAAGCTTTGATACAAAGCTCGTGTTTGATAAATTTCAGAAGTTAGCGAAAGATTTTTTGTTAAATCGTGTTATTCTGAACGTTTTAAGCAGGAAATCACGATATATATTAAAAATATGGAACTTCGCGAATGTATCGTGCTAGGTTACGAGCTGTGACAAAGATTTTTCATGCATATATTTTTGCATTAAATGTTGTGTCCGAGCCGAGACAAGGCGACGAAAGCCGAGATGTCATTTGACTTACATTACACGCGATCGCACGAAACGATGGAAATAATAACTTAGATGTAAGTTTGATTACTTTTAGATGTATTTTTGTTGATTTTATTTATCACTTTGTATAATATATTTAAAGATTTGCTTAAAATAGTCTTTATTTTGCTCTTTGACATGTTCGATGCGGACCCGTTGTCGAAATGTGTGTCCGAGAATTTTATTTTCAATAACATCGCGGGAAATAGTGAATAATTTTTTAATTTATTGATAAAAAATGATAAATTAGAATGAAATACGTATTTCAGACATTGTGAAATATGACAGATTTAATAAATGAATGATATTACAGGTAGATCTAGGTCCATAAAAATATATACTATTTTGACGTGACGTGAGATAAACACATAGGCCTATTGATGATTTGAGATTTGCCGAGCGCGCTCCCCCGCCTCGGCCTTGGTTAAACGGCTCATCGTCTATAACGCCCACCAATTATTTGGACCCCATTGGTAGCGCAATAGCGAGCGATCACTGTATCAGAATGTATTCTCACCTATAATCAATTACACAACTGGGGACACACAAATATACATGTTCAGGGAAGTAATTAAGGTGTATGAACACACAATGCCCTTCAGAAAAAGGTTAAATGTAACTAATGTTCTATTTAGGACAACACTTTCTAAATTGACTATAAATTCTAGCACCCTTTTGGATTGAGTCCCATCCAGGATTCGAACTCACTCCCTCACAGTGAGGCACCAAATCACCAGCACACAAAGTCAGCGATCTAACCCATTCAACCGAAACTTCCACAAAATGAAAGTCCAACAATTCATAGTCTAGATCATGTACTTTGTGTACCCTTCTGACAAGTGTAAATTGGCAGGGCTCCCATGGCCAAAAGCTATGAACACACAATGCCATTTAGAAAGTGGTCAAATGTAACAAATGTTATATTTGGGATAACACTTTCTTAGAAAAGTACAAATTCTAGTACCAAAAAATGTACTAGAGTTTGTACTTTACTAAGGAAGTGTCCCCCCCCCCCCCCAAATATAATAGTCTTGGTTCTCAGGCACCGTCCATCAGCAATAGGAGTTTGTATGCTTGTTTATGTAGGGAGGCCCTTTCCCAGGTTGATGGTACACAGCTGTTTATTTGGTTACATACTAGTTTGATCTAGCAATAAAAAAAAGAAACACTGCCCGCCCGCACTATATTTTCAAAAGTCATTGCCTGAGAACCAATTCTTTTCTTTTTGTCAGCCTTAGTTAAATTCACATGTACTCTCCATATCATTTAAATCAACTTTCTATTTTTTTCCAGATTTCTAAAAGCATTGTTTCAAGAACTTACCAACATGATGCAAAAGTTATATTATGACCGTTCAACTCACATAAAGTAACTGTGACAAGACAAAAACCTAAAAGTCCACAATTTGAAATTGACATGTATGTTAATTTCACGACAAAATGAAATGTTCCCAAGCAACCGAAGGAAATGTACATCTTGATGAGACAGACAGGCAATGTTGATGGACATGTGGAGTGAAACATGTGAAAGAAATGTAAGTTTCAGAGAACCTTTTATCTATTGTTAAATTGGATATTTGCATAACTTCCTTATTTGAGAGGGCAAATTAGGTGTTTCCGCTATAACCTGTGTTTGGTGCAGACGGGGAATTTGTGTGAAAATTGGATACTTTTTGCACTTAAAAATATGAGCCTAATTTCTTTTAAACATTAATTAAAAATAATTATTAAACATCTTACAACAATGTTTTTTGGTGTGGCAGGCACGTATTGTTTGAAGCATAATTATATTTTTTTAACTATTTTTGGAGACAACTTCACTCCCCCCGCCCTCCCCGAATATCAAATTGTCAGCCCCTCCCCCTCCCCGAATATCAAATTGTCAGCCCCTCCCCCTCCCCGAATATCAAATGGTCAGCCCCTCCCCCTCCCCGAATATCAAATAATCAGCCCCTCCCCCTCCCCGAATATCAAATGGTCAGCCCCTCCCCCCTCCCCGAATATCAAATGGTCAGCCCCTCCCCCTCCCCGAATATCAAATGGTCAGCCCCTCCCCCTCCCCGAATATCAAATAATCAGCCCCTCCCCCTCCCCGAATATCAAATGGTCAGCCCCTCCCCCTCCCCGAATATCAAATAATCAGCCCCTCCCCCTCCCCGAATATCAAATAATCAGCCCCTTCCCCTCCCCGAATATCAAATGGTCAGCCCCTCCCCCTCCCTGAATATCAAATGGTCAGCCCCCGAGGTGAGAGAGGGTTGGGATGGGTTTAACACACAGTGGACTTAATTCAGTGGGTCAATATAATTTGGGAGGAAATCCCAAACCCACGTAGTGCTGACAGATCAAAGTCCGAGAAAATCGGGAATTACAAACCACTGTCAGCAGATCCTGCTACAGGTAATGCTCAGGCGACTCCAAACACGCTGCAAAAGGCACTCTTGGATGTCTTGCTTCACATTTATAACCATGTTTGGGACAGAACCCAGACCTGCTTGTCAAGCAACCACACAAACCAATAGGCTATCTTTACCTCACTTAATTACTAGCAAATAATAATAATTATAATAATTATAAGAAGAAGAAGAAGAAGAAAAAGAAGAAGAAGAAGAAGAAGAATTTTTCGAGATTGGGATGGAAAGAGCTCTTTTATGAGCTTGCTGATATAGTCGATTGCTAGTCCATGGCCTGAACAAACATGTTTGTCTGTGTATCGTCTGTGCACTGACAAACACACCCAGCTGAGCAGTCAAACATCTAACAGGGAGACACTACGGTGACTTCCAGAGTAAGTGAGTGGAATTTTATATAGTGCTCTGCTTTTAACAGTATTCCAGTTATATCACAGCGTGTCAGCTTAATGTGGGAGGAAAGCCCTAAGTGATGCAGGTCTCAGACGGTTACCACTCGGTGAAACCCACGAGCACAGGTATGGTGCTGACAAACCTAGAAACATAATCAGGGCGAACCGGGATTCAAACCCACAATCATAGATTTCTGGCATGACCAAAGGATGCAACTCTGCACAGCGAATCGCAGGGCGCCTAAGATGACTAGGCCAACCGTGACCCCCTATTTCACACTGACACGACATCACAATCAAATGACATCACTAATCTATCTGCCACTGAAGCTCATTTAAATAGCTGCTTATCACTGGTTATTACTGGTTATTACTGTTTACAAACTGAAAAAGTTGGAAGAATGATTTATGATGATAAACAGAATCTCACCCATGTCTTTGAAAACAAATATATCAACACATATTGATAAACCTTTCAAACTCATCGGCAAGCCCTGACCTAGAACCTTTAATCGACCTGTGTAGTATTCATTCTCAAAATAACCTGGACAAACAAAGATGTCATCACGAAAGCAGGGTTTCACTGAACATTACCATAAATATCTGTATCCTGAAAAAAAGACGCCACAGTGCATTATGCATACATCTGCCTGAAAAAAAAACCTCATTCCACTTAAAAATTGTCTGAAATCATAAATTTAATTTCAAAATAAACGGTCCTTACCTCATCCCGGTCTGAATCTGATGTAACTGACGACTGCTTATCCAACGTTTTGTTCAATGACATTGTACTTGACATGTTGTCCTCAATATTCACAAGTGATCGTCTTGATGATGACTTCTCTGACACAACGGAAACACTTTCATCATCTGAAAACATACTTTCACTCAGCGCTATCTCAGCCCTTTTTAACTTTTTCAAATTCCCAAGCGCTAATTTTTTCGATTCTGAAATAATTCTGCGTAGTTCTGTGTCATAATCCTCCTTCATCTTACCAAACTCTTTTTCCTTCCTGGTCTGATCTTCACACTTTTCTTTATATTTCGACTCCCAAGAAGCATTTTCGTCTTTCAATTTCTGAATTTCTTCTTCCATTCGACGTAACAGATCCATATCCCGTGGCAACTTTACAACTTTTGTTGGTGTCTTGTTCATTTCAGTTTTAGCATTGTCAGTTTCACTCTTGTCGCTTGTCAATTTCGTCTTCAGGTTCTTAACCTCCTCTTCTTTGTATTTGAGAACCTGCTGTAGTTCCTGGTCCTTTTCCTTCAATAGCTGTTCCCTCAGTTGCCCCATTTCTTTCTTTTTTTCATCCTTAAGCTTTGATTCGAGCATGTCCAGTTCGTATCTCCTGTCCTCTTTGTACGTCTCTCGTAACGTGCGTATTTCACGACTCTTTTCTTTGTAAACTTGTCGATTTCGAGCCTTTTCCATGTCCAGCTCGCTTCGTAACCTGGCAACTTTCCGCCGGTATTCCTCAACCTGGGTTTGTCTCCGAGTGTGGTGTCTTGGACCCTCGGACTTGGCGCTGGCCGGACTTGACGCTCGGCTTGGACTCAGGTCGCTGAAATCCAGCTCGTACTCATCTCGGAGACTATGACGACTGTTGGTGAAGTATCGTCTTTGAAGTGCACCATTCATTGCGATAGTTGTCTATTTCACCTTTTGTGCTTCTTAAAACAGTGCATGGAATGAAATATCTATTTCAACCAAGAGCTTCAGAACATGGCCCTGTCAAAAAATACATTAGTCAAATCTGTCTTTGACAATGATAACTGTTCATTTCACAGATGTAGATATTGTGGAGATATCAGAGACGTAAATCACATTCTGTAATACACCAAAATGTAAACAAAATACTTCCTCTCTTCACCAATATGTATTTCACATGGTATATTGATTCCATATAAATCCATAATCCAGTCATGAAATCCAAAAATATCTTAATCCATCCAGATTTAATCCCTGATCAAATAACTTCCACGCACTGTTGACCAGACATTCTTAAAGCATGCCTTTTAGGATTAATCCCTCTTGAGATCTGAATGGGTCTCTGCAATCCTTATCAAAGGAAAATAGGGTAATTGACAGCACTCCTTGTCACAAATACTACAACATGTCACCTACCATGAAATATACGTGCAATATACAATTCAGCCTGCTCGCTTGTTTCAATTTCTGACGGTTAACAGTGACAAAGTTGAAAGGAAAATACCATGCAAACAGTCACTGTCTCGCTGAGCTTGAAGAAACAACCTCAATCCTTTGAGACAAAGGGAGATCTCTCGACAAACATTCAGTTTTGAGAAATTTACTCTCTTGGCTTTTGAGAGATTGAAATATATTTCCTTGCATATCTCGCCCTGACTTATTTCTGACTCATGAAAGATAGCTATTCATTGTATTCATCATAAATATTTTAAGTGCTGTTTAAAATTCCTTTCATCTGTTAGATATGTTATATATGTTATATATAATAAAATGTGGCCTGAGTTAATACCTGTGCATATATATAAGCTTTCCATTCGATTGTTGATAAGGCTAGTTTTGTATATAATATCAAATTTCGCAGTGGTATAATGATTATTATACTTGTAATTTGTATAATGTTTTAAGTGTGTAACATTTTTAATAAACTGTGTTTTAATTCTTTCAAGAAATGCAATATTGTATCAGTACTGTATCAATACTGTTCCAACTTCAATAAATATTAATCTGGTCATAACTTGCTGTCTTACATGACATTCAAAGGAATTATCACACTCCTTGTTCAAATATTTAATAAATACTTACTATAAAGCACAACAATATTATCCTGGAAGACAAAGTCAACGTCACACACAACACATGGAAGACTTTGCAATAAGCTGTTTGTATCCTAAAATCACATCACCCTCTTTATAGCAGCTTTCGGTTCGTCACGTCATATTACCGTTACGCTTTGTCAATCACTGGTTGATATTTACACAGGGCGCGGTATAACGGGGGTCGTTGGGAAGTACACATGTGTAAACTCTTCGGCGTCTCCACTGAAATGAATCACCATGGCAGCGAGTACCTGTCCGTCAATTCTCAATGAAACTCGCATGTTTCGCAACTCACATTCCTTGAACAATATATGAAAGAATATTCCACTTCACAACACAAATTCGCTTACATACATATTCCCGCGACTGACAGACACTCACGTAGACATGTATATTTAGACGTCAATTTCATCAGCAGGTTCTGTGTGTGAAATGTACATGACACACACACCGTTACTTGTCTGTCCCATGGGATAAACCGTCCCCATTGCAGACGGCATGACCATGCCTTTGACGTCCGGTAAGGCACCAGCAATATAAGCCTAGCGCTTCTTGCAAACATGTACTGGCAGGCTTTGCATTAGCGCCTGAGTACCCACAACCTCCTATCAGCTGTCACCCAGCACGCGCTGCACGCGAAATGCGGGCAGAAATATGCACCACGTGCTTGTCAAACTGAAATGTTTATTCCACGGTGACAGTGCCTATGCCCCCACGCTTTGCACAGACCGAAACCACCTTTTAGTTGTTCTTCTCGAAATTTGTGGTCTACACTGAAATATCTTGCGGTAATTGGGACCCCGCCAGATAACTTGAACGTTGTTGTGCTTGGAAATCGCGTGTCACGTGACAGTAACGCTTCCGCCAGCCATGTCAAGCTCACCTGCATATAGCTTCGATCACTGGTGAATATTGAATAATGTGCATGGCGTGTGGAAACCACAACTTTGCCTGGATTTTTATGCAATCCGTCCATGTAATCCAATTAGGTATTTGAAGTGTGGGATAGTGAACTTGTGGAAAGGTTATCGTGAATGTTCGATGCCTTTCAACAGGGTCCAATTTATGAGCTGATACGTTTATACTTAATTAATAAATGGAAACAACGTGGATTAGATTTGATCAGCTGAGCCAACAAAATGATTCGTTAAAACTCGGAGTTGCTCGGAAATGGGACGATATATTCGGATGATTCGAAGGCTATACACAGGCTTTGGTCTATTTGGTCCCGAATGTTTGCTTTAAGTAAATTAAAATGTTTGTTGTTTAACGCTGCGCTGAGCAATCGTCCTGCTATATGACGGCGGCCTGAAAATAATTGACTCTGGACCAAACAAACCAATGATTAATATTATGAACAACGATCCGAGCCTACGGCTACAATGGAACGCAATCAGCCACGTTATCGAGCCGGATTTATTATACAATTACACAAACGCGATATTCCAGCTGTGGGATGGGGGCTGTAAATGATCGAGTCTGGACCAGATAAACCAGTGATTGATCTAGACAATATTAAGGTCCAACGCCGTAGGAGTACCAAAACACACTACCTGTGAAGATCAGGTTAGAATGGGCCTTCAGCAACCCATGCTTGCCGCAAAAAGCGACTATGGTTGTCGTAAGAAGCGACTAACGGGATCGGGTGGTCAGGCTCGCTGACTTCGTTGACGCAAGTCATCGTATCTCAGATCGATGTCAGTCACTGGATTGTCTGGTCCAGACCGCCGTCATATAGCTGGAATATTGCTGAGTGCGGCGTTTAATAAAAACCAACGACAACCCAACTGAGTAGATCGATACTCTAAATGTCAATCACTGGATTGTCTGTTCCAGGCTCGATCAATTACAGATTGTCTTCTAGCTGGAATATTGATGAGTGCGGCGTTAAACAACAAACAAAACGAAACACAATTAGACAAGTCAGCGACACACTCTTTTGCACACACAGACACACGTCGCTACATAAGTGAGTGAGTGAGTTGGGTTTAACACCGCTTTTAACAGTAATCCAGTTATATCACGGCGTGTCAGCTTAATGTGGGAGGAAAGCCTGAAGTGATGCAGGTCTCAGACGTTTACCACTTCGGAGAAACCCACGAGCACGGGTATGGTACTCGGGGCGAACCGGGATTCGAACCCAAGGGACGCAACTGTGCACAGCGAATCGCGAATCGCGGCGCCGTGCCCCCCGATACATAAGTGCAATAATCTTGAACGGAACGTTAATGCCCATTTCATACGTCATCAAGCTATGTAAATCAGTGGGTTTTAACGCCGCTTTGAACAGTATTCCAATCAGTTTTTCCCCGTCTTGTCAGCTTGATGTGATTTGTTTGTTTGTTTGTTGTTTAATGCCACACTCAGCAATATTCCAGCTATATGACGGCGGTCTGTAAATAACCGAGTCTGCACCAGACAATCCAGTGACTGACGTCATGAGCATCGATCCACGCAATTGGGATCGATGACATGCATCAACCAAGTCAGCGAGCATGACCACCCGATCCCGGCTTGATGTGGGAGGAAAGTCCGAAGTCAGGCAGGCCTTACACGTTTACCTATTTTGTGAAACACAAGTGCATGGGTATTTTGCAGTCATAGGTGAATGAGGCCCTCGCTGTTTTCAACAGTATTTCGGTCATAGCTTCAGAACGGAGGTTCAGGCAGATCTGGTAAAATTCACCACAAACTTAGGATCTCCATCCCGGATTTGAACGCGTCGTTTGAAACAACCCAAATTTCTCATAAACAAAAAATAGGAGTGTCAGGTAATTCGTTTCATTACCCATAGGGTTAGAAATAACCGAGTTGTTAAAAATCGCATGTGCACTTGTGCAAATATCACTTCTCGCGCACCAGTGGAATGTTTCCGTCATCCGGACGTCATTGTTGACGTCATTTGAATATTATTGTGACGCAAGGTCGGAATGACGTCACCCTAGAACTAAATTCATAGCTGAAGATTGTTGACGGACTCGACAGATTGTGGTTTTCCAGGACGCCGGTGGTGATCATTTTCTTCTGAAGGGGAGCTCAAAAGAATTAAGAAACAGTGGGTGGTTATGAGGAAATTATGACACACACTTGTCTGTCACACTGATTTTACGAAACTCGTGTAAGAATTTATGTATTACAATCGCTTTCGCTCGGGGAATGCAAGAATCTGACACTCGTTTCATAAAATTAGTTTGAAACACACGCTCGTATTGTAATCTCTACATATTGATCTCAGTTACTTGGTTTACTGGGACACACGTGGATCAGTCGTCTTATGCGCCGTCAGGAGTTGCGTCCCTTTGTAAATCCTAGACCATCTCTGATCATCCTGACAAGCAGGGATACAGCTGAAAGACTGTCCAAGGCGGCATCGCATTTCATGGCATCTCACACAGCGTGTTTTACCAGCGCTGTAACAGTCTTTGCATGGTTTTAAACTGTGACAAGTGAGTAAGTTATTTGTTTGTTTGGTTAACACCGAACTCGGCAATATTCGAGCTTTATGACGGAAATGTGTCAATAATCTAGTCTCGACCAGACAAACGGGTGATTGACACCACGAACATTGATCCACGCAATTGGCATACAATGACATTCACTCAACCAATTCACCAAGCAGTGGTTTTTTTATTCCAGCGACCAGAAAATTTTAAAATGTTAACAATCAGAACTCATTTAGTATTGCTATTAATAAACATAAATTAGTTAAAATACTATAATAAAAAAACCCATTTATTTAAATTTTCGCTCTCTACCTACTTAATATCAAAACAAATGTTTTATTTCATTTTCTCGACCTACCGACCTGAAATTTTGGGCCCCAAATCCAGCATACACCACACACAGCATACACCAATTAAAATATGAAAACTTGGCCTTAGTATACCTGACTGCTAATAAAAAGTCCGAATTCATAAATGTTTAGTTCGCTGCAAACTGTTTGTTTCTTTGTTTTACGCCGCACTCCGCAATATTCCAGCTATACTGAACCGCAAAAGAAAGGTTACCATGGATAGATATATGAGAAACCTTATTTGTCCAAACACTGTAAATATACTTCGAGACATTAAAAAGAAGATACTTGGCAAAACAGATCATCAAGGTTGAAATTAAAGTGTCAAATGTTCTTAACGTGAAAAACAAGTCTCTCAGAAAATGGCATCACAAGTCAGTATCTCGTGTGTCCGCCATGCGCATTGATGATTGCCGTGCAACGTCGATACATGGAATGGATGAGGCGGTTGATGAAGGCCGTAGGCACTTGAGCCCACATTCTAAGAAACGCCTGACGCAGTTCAGCTGCAGTTGTCGGCCTTGGTCGGACGTCATTCAGCCGTCCTTGAATCTTGTCCCGTTGGTGCTCAATGGGATTTAAATCGGAACTGGGGGCAGGCCACTGCATGGTTCTGATGCCATTCTGCTGGAAGAAGTCTCTTGTTGCTCTCGCAATGTGGGAACCGGCGTTATCATGCTGAAACTCGTGGTTGCGGCGACGTGCCAGATGAGGTATGGCGTGTGGTCTCAAGACTTGATCAATGTACCGAGCTGCTGTGACACCATTGCCTCTCCCTGGACCGATGTTCTGGAAGACCACAGGGCCGACCACACCATGATGCTCGGACTACCCCACGAGTCTCTCTCAACAACACAAGCATCCGAATAACGTTCCCCACGGCGTCGCCAGACTCTCTCTCAGCCATCTGCTGTTGAGATACAGTAACGGCTCTCGTCTGAGAAAAGGACTCTTCTCCACTGCTTGTGGCGCCAATGCTTGTGCTGTGTTGCCCACTGAAGATGACGTGGTGCCAGAATGGGTCCTCGGTGTGGCCTGTGACAGTGGAGGTGTCTGCTCATCAATTGTCGACGCACAGTGTCCGCACTTATGTGTCGCTGGTGTGTCCCCATGGTCTGTCGAGCAGTTTCCGCAGCAGTAACAAAGCGATCTTGAAGATGCTGTCGCACAATCTGACGATACTGACATCGGATGGTGACCCTTGGTCTTCCACTACGTGGTCGGTCATCTGTAGTGTTGGTGGTCTGGTACCGTTGCTGGAGCCTGTATATGGTCCTTACGTGGACTTGAAATGCATTGGCTACTTGTCCTGCTTGCAATCGTCCAAGGGCTTGGCGTCGCTGATTTCTTGTCAATCTTGGCATGTGGTAGCAATTCAATAACGAATGAATGTTATCCGATCTGGGTGGATTTTTATAGGGCAAGAAATGGGGGAACGCATGTGCATTTCAATTTGCACGGAACTCACGTGCATCGGGTTACCATGGCCGTTGACGTGATGCGTTTGGGCGGTCGGTTTTATTGTCTTAATGTTAAATTTTAGAAACTTTGACAAAAAATACCAAGATATTTAAATGACAACTTTTTATGCAATGTTACTTGGGGTGACGTTTCTTTTGCGGTCAGTATATATAACGGCGGTCTGTAAATAATCGAGTCTGACATGCATCAACCAAGTCAGCGAGCCTGACCACCCGATCCCGTTAGTCACCTCTTACGGCAAGCGCAGTCGCCTTTTACGGCAAGCATGGGTTGCTGAAGACCTATTCTACCCCGGATCTTCACGGGTCTTGCTTCAAAGAGAAGGGTGCGTTCCCGTTGCACCACCCTGGATCTCCTCATGGGGAGGACACCAGTCCAAGTTGTGCTTCGAGATCGCTTATAACAGAAAATATCGGCAGGAAAAGATGGACCACTTTGCTGTATT